TTTCGTAAAGTAAAATCTAATTTACTGTTGGTTTAGACGCCATATTTGAGACGCCTTGTTGAAGTTTTGAAAAGGCCACACTGTTTTCAAGGTGATCAGTTTAAGACGGTAATCTTTGTAATCCATCCTATAGAAGTCTGGCCATCGGCCTGTACCAGTTGAAGTGATGTGGAAATGAATTTTATGCCGCTTCCCTTACATCGCTATGTTTGGCACCTCCCCGATCGTGATCTAAGCGTCGAACAAAAAAATGTGCGTACAAAAGTGGTGGAGTAGAATGAAATGGATGAATAACTAATGGCAGACTTTGGCATTCGAATATGTGACGTACTTTCAACAGAAATTGTTGAAAAATGCCGAAAAGCGTGACAATGTAAAGATTTTTCGCAGTTTATGCTAATTATTTACAGAGACATAACTATTATAAGAGAAAAGAATAAAAGTCAATCAATAATCATTATATTAAGATAAATATTTTTCGAGTCATCTATAATTATTATTCAAGGACTTATATTATAAAAGTCCTTCCATAATAATTATCAGAGAGATAAATATTTTTAAGACTTCAAAGACTTTTATCTTAAGACTTATATTATAAAAGTCTTTTCATAATAGTTATGAGCACGAAAAAAATTTTAAGTCTTAAAAGACGGGACTTATTCAGGACCATTTCAGGATTGGTTGTGACCAGTTCGGGGACATTGGGACCATTTTTTTAAGTTTTATAATATAACTCGCAAAATAAAAGTCTTTGAAGAAGACTTAAAAATATTTATCTCGCTGATAATTATTATGAAAAGACTTCTATTATATAAGTCTTAAAATAATAATTATCGATGACTTACAAAAATTTTCTCATACATACCTATCATCAAAAGACTTATAATTCTTTCGAAAATTTTGATGACTTTTTTAAAACTCCGCCACGAAATAATTATTTTTCTGGGTGTCTGATTATTTACAATAAAAATGTTTTTTTTTCAACCTTCTATATATAAAATGTGGAAAACTAAATTGTCTACAAATTTATAACTTTTTTTTCGAAAATGCAGAATAAGCTTGCAAATCGCTAGACTGGGGATCCATGATCTATATGTCAAATAGAATTAAAGTGCATAAAAAATCGCTACCACAAATTTTTTCCTTCGTAACAATTTGATCTACATAATTTTACTGGGCTAGGTAACTGCTCGAGAATATTTGCTGAATATTTTAACAGACGTAACTAGAATCGCGGTGCCAAGAACTGCGAACAATTTTTGGTAATAAAATTTTACGGTTACAAAATCTTCAGTAACGTGCAGAATAGAGCTGGGCTCAAATCGTCCCACACGATATCGTACTACTCGTCGCGTAAAAACACATTTTTCGGATTATGGCATACGTGAACGTACTCTTTGTCCCATTCAGCTTATACTGCCTGATGTATCACGTAATTTTCTTTCGTATCGTTTTCGATCCAAGAACAGATGTTACGATTCGATCCCTGTTAGTGTCTGAAATAGTGAATGTCCGGTTTGTAGCAGTGTCCGTATTACCGAGTTAGCAATGTATGGCCTACTTGAGGTTGTGGCCGCCTTTTCGATGGTTAGTCTGTCGAATATCAAACATTCTGTTTTGGTTCTGGGTGCTTCGACGCCCGCTTGTATGCCTTCTGGAGTTTTGGAGACGTTTGTATAGCTTTGGTGGGTGCATGAAGGCTGCTTCGCTATACACTTACTATATTATCAGCCCAATTCTGAATGCTCCCGGGTAGTTTGTTTTCCGGGAATTTGTTGCTCCCGAGAAAGAAATCCTTCAATAATTTACTCCCAGGGAGTAGCATTTTCACCGAAAATTTGGGAGGAGGAAATTTGAACTTCGGAAAAGCTGTTTGATGACACTTTTTTGAGGAAAAAAATTCGATAGAAATCTGTGGACATTGCAATAAGACCCGTCACCCTCCCATAAAGTTTGCGAAATTCAACGTTTTTTTAGAAAAAATCTTTCCAGCTCCATTTCTTCGCAACAATGGCCACCATTTTCACCGGACTTCTCCATTCTCAAGGCCAAAGTATCAGCTAAAATATATGTGACAATCAACGCCTTTAGGATTATTCTTAGCCGCCACTGGGGCAAAATACTACCGGACCACATTCGTGCATTGTGTGCATTCCACCGAAATTAATTTTGCAACCTGCTATATGGATATTTGAGTGTAGAGGGTCTAGTTCTAGAATTACCTCTAGCTTGTAGTAAATTTGAATGCCATTCAAAGCCGCCAGAAAATTAAATTTCAAAATACTTCAGCATAGACTTGACTTGGTAAATTTTGAATCATCACTGATCTTACTTTTACATACTTAGCTTAAATTGTAATTAATACGAGTGTGTGATGTATACTTATACATATAATTGATGCAATAAATCGCCCACTGGGAAAATAGGTAAGCACCTTGCGAGGTAAGCCATGTTTTCTTTCAGTTTTTAGTACCAAAATTGTCATCATGGCCAATGTCATCTACTAGTAAAGGGCAAAATGAACACCTCCGAAGACACATTACGTTGTCAGTTGCAAAATAACGTGCAGCCGAAGTTATTTCCAAGCACCGAACTACTCCGAGCGACTGCTCTGCATTACACGTAACTTACTTTGTAAAGCGGCTCAGAAGTATGTCTGATACCAAATGTACATTCTAAATTCCTACTTACATAAGGCGGCCATGCCTTTGTAAAAGTAAGGGACGTTCGGCAGGGAAATGGTAATGACTGCCAGGTGAAGAGTAAGTTGCTAATAAGGTATTATTACGTGCTCCTAATTCCCACTGGGCGTGGTTAAATAGTATGCAAATATATAGACACATGGAAAGCACTAATACGGCATCCATGAGTAGAGCCGTTTGCTTATTTGCCGTTTAACCCACAATTTAAAAAATGTATAATGAGATATTCACGAAGATGATTTCACACTTAGATGCAGCAAGGGAAGGTAAACCGCTCATGAAGTCACAACTAACACCCTGTAATGCAAAGTAAAATTTGCATAGTGAATCAGCTTCGAAAGCTTAAAAAGAAAATCCACAAAGAGAAAATGTGTTTCACTCTTGCGTATGGCATTCAATAACAAAAACCCCGCGCTGTACTCTAGATGTGAAAATTTTTTGGAAAAAAAAAAATATGCATTGCATACAGAGAGCGATGGAGAAGGTTAATATTTATATTTATTGAAATAGCTACCAAGGCATATTCAATAAGGTAAAAGTGATTTCGACAGTTCTCTCTTTTTGGATTGCGAGAACTTAATTTTGTTGTCACTTTTACCTTGTTAAATATGTATGTAAGCCGCTTAAGTGCTCTTCTATGAATACTAGTCTCAGGATTAAAATCAATTTACATACATGTACCGCATATTATAATTATGTGGCCACCACATATTGGCAAGCTTTAACAATTTATTTGGTTATTTCTTACTTTTTTTTTTAGTAAAATTGTTATTTATTTTTTTTTAAGAAAAAAATCAACAGACATTTGTACATGTACATATAAAAGTAAAAGTTTTTTGGAAGATTTTGAGGATACAGTTTGTAACCCACTCAATTTTTTTTTTGTTGATTTTTGGCAATTTTTTTTTTATTTTTGCTACGGTCTGGTGCATTTCCTCCCAACTATGTTTGACGACTTGTTTTGTGTGTGTGCATATGTATGTACATATGTACGTATTAAGCAGAAACTGTGAGCGCAATATTCTCGAATTTGAGAGTTTTCGAGTTTCTTCGAGCCCGACTTGGAACTTGCTCTCTCACCAATGCTAGATAAATAATAAAACGGTCGTTATTTGTGCTTTTTTATTGCAAAATTTGAAATTCCAAGAGAGGCTTTTTGGCCGCTGTATTTAAATTGAATGCCTTCATTGATACTTAACTCTTTGTACATTTGTTTTGAGATTTTGTTTTGACTGCCACGATCGATCAACAATGACTCTCTATAAAGGGTGTTTCAAAGTTACATATGTAACTGGCATTCAATAAGTTTTTTCAATATCTCAAACCGAATTCAAAATTTCCAAAAAAGATTCTAAATGGCTGTTTTTCGACAGCTCACACTGACACGGAAATCTCTCAGAACATCCATTTATTCCGACGCTGAATAAATTTTTTCAACTAACATCATGTCTTTCAGAGTTTGGAATGCAACTGGGATAAGAAAACTAGCGCAGATAATCTGGCATGTAGCACTCAGCGGCGGGTAAATAAGAAGGCACCGAATGGATTTTCCTTAAAAAAGATTTTCCCGCAGAAATTTTGCGCCTAGAAATCCAGATTAGAGCTGCAAATATTTCGGTAAGGGCTTACTAATAGAACCTAGGCAGAGATTACTTAGATAATGTGAATACAGTATGTTATTGCCGATCAGTACAGAATTTTTTATATGCAGAGCGGTCTCTTATCCTTAAAAATCTTGTCAACATATAAGAATAGATAAAATGCTCAGAATTGAAATCATTGCTCGATAAAATCTAGCATATTTTGGACTTGTTGGATTACATGAGATCCACAGATCGAAAACTGGAGGCTTTTTAAAAAATAAATATGTATTGGCGATTCTTGTAGTTTTGAAAGAATATTGCTTGCGTGGAATTTATGCAGTACAATACACAAAATGTTTTCTAAAGCATGGAACCAACGTGAGAGGGACCAAGGTAAGTGACTTTGACCTTAAGAGGAAATGGTCTTCAAATTATTACTACACCAGCGCGTCAAAATATGTAAGTAGCGCTCTTTGGTATTTTAAATCGAATGAAAAATTCAACATTTTAATGGAAACGATTTTCTACCATTCACTGACACCTGGGTCAAAGATAAACGCTTTCAAGTCGCCACAAAAATTGCGCCAATTTATTTTGTCCTTAATGGAACACCTTTTATTATGATCAGCTTCATGAGCTCATCACAAACCAGCTAAAATTCTCAGCATGGATGTAAAAAAATTTCAAATTCAACAGCTGCCACCACCTTGGCGATCTCACTCAGTCGCTGCGATGTTCAGTCTCTATTGAGAACGTGATCGTGTACGGATCGTTAAGAACGTTGTGCGGCATCTGACGAACCAGTGGCTTTAGTTTTTTTATTTTGCCTAGTTACATACAAAGATTCATAAATATATATGTACATACTTGTACAGCCATACGTGGAAATTTCAAAGAATTTGTAAAAAAAAACAGTTTATTCTGTTGGAAACCAGTTTCTCAACAACAAAAGTGAAGATGGCCAAATACACTACAGACAAAGCGTTATTCAATGTCAGCCTGCGTAATGCCTGCTTGGGAATAGCGATATTCTTTTTGATCACACTGGTGCTGGGCGTTATTGTTCGACCGAGTTGTAAGTGAAAACGAAAGCGTAAATTGGAGGGAAAATAGTAACCAACAACTTGAAAAATAAATAAAAACAAAAAAAAAACAATTAACATAATTTACATTAATGCGATAAAAAAAATATTAGAACCATAGTAGACTAAATAGTTAGTAGACTAAGCACCAGAATTTTGTATAGATTTCCAAAAGTAAAAAAAAACCTGCAATATAAGTTACCAGCACAAAGCAACTTCATTCACAGAGTGTGCGTGAGGCAGTGGTTAAAAAATCTGCAGCAACAAACTTTCGCTAACCACAAAGCGCAAAGAAGAAGCATATAAACAGAAGCCTTTTTATGACAAATTTTTTATAAGCATTCATTTTTTATGTTGCGGTAGTGGTTTCCCTGATAATTTTTTTTTGTTAGATTTTTTTTTTGCATTTTTTAAATCAAAAACTTTTATCGTAAAATTGTGTGTATGCACAGTTCTAAAATTGTTTCACATACATACATACATGCATATATTTATGGCTCAATTGCCGCGTATCGTGCGAATCGTTTTTTTATTTGACCATTTTTGCCAGCTCATAAAAAGTTGTTTGTTCTGCTGCTTCTGTCGCCACTTGTTGACATCATTTTTGTTTTTACATATTTCGTGCTACTCATTGTTCATGGGATACTTTTAGATTGTTTTGTACAGCATTCGATAATGAATGTTTTTATAGCGTGTTTGTTTGTTGTTTTTTATATGACCTCCATCTTTTGTTCTTAATTTTTTAATAGGATTTGGAATCGAAAAATCCGTTTTTAATAGTAAATTTCTTATTTCGTAACGGCCGGTCGAAAGAAATAAAACTGTTCTAAGAAAACAAACTTTTAGAAGCAAAGCGATTTCGATATATGTATGTATGTACATAAATAACTTACGATAAATATAGCGATATCGATAAAAATATCGATAATCATATGCATATGTTTGTAGATAACGATAACAATACTGCTAAAAATCGATAAACATATATATAAATGTTAAGATATGTCGAGCCCTAACCGCCAAAATAACGTAAGCGACATTTTTTTCAAAATTTTCTTTTTGATGCAGAAATGTATCTAGATGCTCTAGGAATATTTCTGCATCAAAAAGAAAATTTTGAAAAAAATTTCGCTTACGTTATTTTGGCGGTTAGGGCTCGATGTATTTATATCAATAACGATAAATATATGTAATTATATCGGTAACGATAAATATATGTAATTATATCAATAACTCTAACGAAAACATTTTCGATAACAAGACTGTGTAAAAATCGATAAATATGTTGATGTTATCGATTTTTTATACATCTTTGAATGCATCTCGGAATGTAATATAAAATTAATTTGCGACTACTCTCTCCTAGGTTTCCAGACAAAGCGCCTAAAGCCCTTGGGATCTCGCTTATCGCCAGTTTGATAGAGATTGCGAAAGTACCCTGCCGAGTATGCATTTTATATAGAAAGTTAAAAAATTGTGTTACCCTTTAACTTTTACCATTTTGAGCAGGAATACCGATTGTTTTTTTTTTTTACTTGTTATTTCACGAGCATAAATAAAAGCAGACTTAAAATTAAAACAATCTTCTGGACTAAAAAAGGTTTTAAAGAAATCCCGAAAGGTCCTAACAAAATCCTGAAGGGTTAAAGTTCTCAAAAATTCCCAAAATGTCTTGACGAATTCCTTAAAAGTGTCGCAAAAATGCCGACTGCCGATTTATGAAAGCAAACCCAACAATGTTCCGAAAAAATCTCAAAAAAAACTGAAAAAAAAACAGAAGGTTCCTAAGAGACCAGACAAACTTCCAATAAATCACGAAATACTCCAGAAAGCTCCTAAAAGTACAGAAGAGTCTTGAAAGAACACCACGCTAAATAAAAAAGAACGTTAAAAAAAAACCGAAAAGTGCATAAAAGTCCCAAAGGATCGAAGAAAAATCGACAAAAAAAAATTTAAAAATATTTCCATGTACCTATAAAAGGAAAATGAAAAAAATACAGAAATGTCTCGAACAAACTCCACAAGTTCTCGAAGTGTATAATCCTAAGAACCCCTAAAATATTCCGGACAATCCCGAAAAAATCCAGCAGTTCGAGAGGTTAATTAACAAAAAAAATTTGAATCATTAATTGTTTTATATCTAGAACCAGTCGTGAAAGACGCATAAACTCGTAGGAGAAAAACATTGTTTGTTTTTTAACCGACTTCAAAAAAGGAGGAGGTTATCAATTCGTCGGAATATTTATTTTTTTTTTTATGTACATATGTTATCGCATAAGTTTGGACCAAGTGTACGAGTTAACCTAAGTAGTTTGTTGGATGTCAAAGAGCTCAGGTGTTCGTCTCTCAACACATCGCGTCTGCTCGATGAGAGCAAAATCCTAGATTGAAGGCAGCCCCTCGATGTCCCCCCAGTCATTGATAAGCGAGGAATTCACCCATTTTTTGATAATGGCTTCGATGCCCGAAGCTTGGAGTGCTATAACTGGTTACGCCACGAATACCTCGTCTGAGCCTAATCTGGCCAAATAGTCAGATGTCTCGTTACCAGGTACTCCCGATTCAAATGGCACCCAGATTAAAGCAAGCTCGTTATGGTTGCCAACATAATTTAGTCGAGAAATCACGCCCCAAAAAAGACGTTTAAAGATCACAAAGAGTAATTATCAGAAGATATTTTGCTTATCTTAAATTACTGGTTAGTTATTCTAGTTGGGTGTGAATAATTTTAAAGTTCGATTTATGTTCATATTTTAACATATTCAAAAATTGTTCATATTTTTTCTTAATTTTCAGACCTACATGCCAGTTCTTCGCTAGTTGGTTTTATTGTTGAGCTGATTGCCAACTTGGCTTTGCTATTCGGTGTCCTGTGGGTATGTAAAGATTAACAACCATATTCATAAGAAATAAAGAAGACTTTAACGGCTATAGAGCTCTATAAATCTATTTTATTTTTTATGATACACATTTGTTTATTTAAATATATGTATATATGTTTGTCTAAAAAATATGTATGTATGTATAGGAATCATTTCTAATACCATCTTTTTAAATTTTCGCAGAGCAATGCCTGGCTGGTTTTGGTTTGGCTTGTGGCCGCCGTGATGTTTTTCATTCATTGGCCCTTCGCTGTCTTGGGTGTTATATTCAATTATGGCGGTTATCGTTACACCGCGTTCTTCGACAATGTTTTCCTCATACTCTTAGAATATATTTTAGTTTTGGGTAAATACATATGTTTATATTTTCTATGTTATATAATGAGAATACTAACGTTACTTAGAATTTCAAACGTTATTCCAAAGTTAGGGAAAAAATTAACACCCGAATTCATAAAAAATAAAGAAGACTTTAACACGGCTTTATACATCGAAAATTTTAATGAAAATGTCACTTTATAGAGCTCTTTAAATCTATTTTATTTTTCATGAATAAAGCCATAAAACTTTATTTATTTATTTAGTTGACTTTATCATAATTGTTTTTTTTTATTTTTCAGTGGTTTTCGGCTACTGCACATACCTGGTCTATTCCTATTTCCATCAATTGCGAAACACTCAGTCTGCTACACCACATGGCGTTGTAGTTTAATTATGTACTTACTATAAGCGAATATACACATCTATACAATATGAGTACAAATATAAAAACAAAAACCAAAATATGTGTGTACATCGTAACGTTGGCACCCACCCCAATGAAGTAAGAAACATTTTGTACGCTGATTGTAACGCTCTCGAAGGTGGTTACAAAATTAAGTTGCATTTTTAACATTTATTTTTTTTGTATTACTACATTTGCATTTGCATACTATAAAACACACTTACCTACATACATTTGTTTGTACCCAATGTACGTAGCTATGTATGGATGCCATTAAGAGTTTATTTAATTTGAATAAAAAATAAATAAATATAAAAGAAAAAATTGCTGGACTTTACATTGTTCAAGGTTGCTCGAAAACTGGAAAGTTTTATAAATAAAATGTGTTTTACGAACAAAACTTCTCCCCTTTTTAAATATACATATATGTTTAGTATTTAGAAATCAAACTTTTTTCTTATTTTGTTAAAATTTTTGGTTCATTGCTCGTATATGGCAGCGCAAGTCAAAACAAAAAAAATGTGGGCGCGCCACACAGAAACATCTGCGATGACGGCATTTTCGGCCAGCAGCTTTGTCATCGCTGCCGGCTTATCTCAGAGCAACAACAATAAATTATAGTCAATTTGCTAAATATGTATTAAAATGTAAGTTGTGCCGTGAAAATTACTCTGAGTTTTCTCGCTGGCACTCTATGCTGATGCATATGAGATCATATTGCGTGATTATTTAAATTTGCTTTGATTTTGCAAGTACTTCCAATGATCCAAAATAGAAGCAGACAGCTTCGGAACGAAATAAGCTTGAATAATGATATCGATTGATATAGGTATATCGATGTCGATATATGTTTATATCGATGACCGTAGTAATTATATTCACATCGGTAACGGTAATAATGGTGTTATCATTATTGGTAAACGGGAGAGAAATTCTACATATTACTAAAAAAAATCATAAAATTTAACCATATCGATGGGAATTTCTATAAATATGTAAATCGATCAAAATTACAACAATAAATTTTTTTGATAAAGGTATCGATATATTTTTCGATAAATTTATCAAATCGAAATTTCTATAAATGTGTTTATCGATCATAATTAAAATAAATTTGTTCGATAAATTTATCGCTACACACATCGAAAGCAATATCGATAAAAAATATAGGTTTAGACGATGACTATCGATATAACGATCATATGCATATCGATATAATTTCTATGTAACTGTATTGTATTTTTAATTTTTCCAAAAAACGCGTTCTAGAACATTTTAAAATTGATGTCTTTTATTGCACTCTGCCATGTTGAACCTGCAGAATACTTCCGAATCTTCGATGTGAAGAAACTTTGTTTTCAACCCAAAGTTTTTTGAATTGGAGAAAGGTTGTTGACTGATGGTGCTAATCCTTGTAAGACCAAGTTGTTATTGTGGACTTTATGGAGCGGCAGTTCTTGCCCAGATATAAACTTCGGTCGTTCCCAGTTACATAGGCCCGACTGTCAAGGGATCGGTAAGATGAAGTTCGTCTGACCCGCGTTACTCTGGCCCAGTTACGGTCTGGATATTGTAGTATGTCCATACTCGACCCCAATGCCCCTAATGAGTGCCTTTTTAAGTACAGTGTCTTTTTAAGTACAGTGTCTTTTTAAGATAGGCGTCAGAACAAGTATTTAATGATAATAATCAAAACATTATGGATGGGAGAAATCCGCGAAGCATCTGTAGACCGATAATATCGGTATCGTAATTTTGAATACAATTCCTGGAAGCGATCAAATAAAATGAACCCGGTATTCGTCAGTATTTCGCTTGATACATATGACTACTTTATGAACCGATTTGTCATGACACAAAATTTTAACAGCATCAGCTAAGAAAACAACTCAAAAGAGAGACACAATAAAAAGCGAATAAAAACAAAACAAAATTTTCGCAGGAAATTCCGCTGGGAGCAAAGGAAAAAACACACAACTCGATTAGGACGTCATCGCCCAGCCATAAAATGGAGTTGCCCGCCGATAAAGTGTTCGAACGTGAAAAGAAACATGACATGATGTTGGACTTGAGCTTGGGTGATCAGAAGGCCGATAATCTTTTTGCTGGCAGTAAGTATTCGACAATTATTTGAGCAAAAATTACGTAAAAATGCGCTAGTGGAATGCACAACTAAAAGACAACTTTTATAATTGCTACACAGCGGACCAAACACCAACGCCCACACGTCTAATACGCAATTGCGAGGAGGTAGGACTCTTTGAAGATTTGCGACATGTGAATCCCTTCGAGGAAACCTTTCGACGTGCCTGCGAACAAAACCATGGGCAGACACCCATGCGTCCACTAGACTCTGTGGAGGCAAACGCCGATGAGGATTCGCTGCACACACCACAAGTGTATCCTCCACTGGACGCCATACAAAGTTGTGAAATGCTCACCAAGCCATTGGACAGTCCCTCCTCAGCTACTGTGACGCTGGATGTTCCCGTTGTCGATGAGTTACTCAATGCAGCAGCGGACGCCTACAAAATTGGCACATCGCGTCAGAATTCAAACACCTCTACGACATCTTCAGGAGGTTATGGCAAAATTTACAAATATCGAGCAATTGCTGAAAAGCCCTCAGCAACAGGGGTGGCGAGCGGATCTCCGCGCATACCATACATACATCTGCCAACAGCGGCCATACAGTTGGTGCAGCCGCAGCTAATAACGCTGACTTTCCCCGAGAGCAATGGCAACAAAAACTTGGCTGCAAACTTGGAAGCCAAGCCGTTAGGTACTGTCGCTAACAATGCAATACCAATACAAACTGTTAAGCCTTTCATCATGCCGAAGTTGGCAGTCGCGGCGACAGCTAGCGCAACTGCATCTTCAGCTACCGGTACAACAACAACAGCAACTGCATCTTCAGCTACCGGTACAACAACAACAACAACAAAGCTAAAAAAGACACCGACTGCAACGCAGTTGCCGCCGCTGAACACAAAAGCTCACAGCACCACCGCCAGTACCTCCACTGCCAAAACGGCAACAGCCCAAAGTCAGCTAACGACCCTGCAGCCACCGCATGAACCAAGCAGCGCCAGCCTTACGCCCACCTCACAACTGCCCATTAAAGAGCGTCTCAAGGCAATTCTGAGTCTTGGCAATAAAACGCACACGGCAGCACCACTGCAACCAACCAAAAGCAGTGGTCGCCGAGTGCGTGGCCAAGCAGCCGCCGCGGATAAATACGATGAAGATTCTATGACGCGCAGGCGTGCAGCGGCCACACGTTATCGCATCAAAATGCGTAACGAACACAAGGATCTGCGCAGGCGCAACAGCGAACTACAGGCGGAAAACGACAAGTTACGCACACACATCAAACAACTAGAGCAGGAGTTGGCTAAAAGTCAGCAGCAGCAGCAACAACAAATTATATCAACATCAAATGGTTGGTGGTTAAATGTTGTTGTCCAGCGAATTGTGTTCATTACATGTATTTTTATTAATGTTTTGGTTTATGTATTTGTAGGCAACTTACAAACTGTGCCGACACAAGTACAAATCCCGCCCTCAACGCTGCATCTGGTAATGAATATACCGACAATGGTTGTGCCAGCTGGGGGTCAACCTTCCTTGATACAGCCAATCACTTATCGGGTGGAGAAGAAATAAAGTATGCCGCAGATAGCTGGAGCTTACCCAGATCGCAGTGAGATAATTTTATGTAGAAGTCAAACAAATTTATAGATAGAGTATTGGCACACAGTGCGTTAATTATAAAAAGTTTCTTATTTGTAGGCATTAGACATTATGTTTGATTGATTTAAAATTTACTAAAAACTTGATATAAAACTTATAATGTTTAAATTATTTATGAAAAAAAATGTATTTGTTTTAATGGGAAATTAAACGACGACAAAAGAAATGCTTAGAGGGCTGTTCTAATGTGCAAGTTTGAATTTCGGTAGGGGCGTACGCTTATTATGAGATCAATGCCTGGAAGCGTGTTACTTATATTCATGTTAAATGCAACTCAGTCTTTGCATGACTTTAAACGCTAACTACTACTGCTAGCAATTTTAAGATCTAAACTAAAAGATATTTTAAACTACACACTACTTAAACCAAGCATGCTCAAACCTTTTATGTCCGCTAAATATTGCTTATCAATTAGACTTAAGTATATCATTAAATTCTCTTTGTATTTCTTCGATTCTTTCCTCAATTGTATCAAGTTGAGAATTTTGGGATGAGCTGCGTGTGCTTGCAGCAGGTTTGTGAAGATTTGAAATCTGTGAGCAAAAACATAGAGTATTCTTATTAACCCACTTTCTTAAAAAAAAAAATACTTGCATTACCTCATTTAACTGCGCTTTCAGCAAACGCCTTTCATTGCACAATTTTTGTATGTCACCATGATACTTAGTGCGCAGTGAGCATGATCGCGGTGCGCTCAAACATTTTTGTACGTATAACTCTATATCTTGATTGCGCACCTCATCCTCGGCCATAAGTAAGTCAGCATCATTGCGTGTGCGCTGAAATTAGAAATTACACCAATTAAACCTATCTTATATGTGTTCAATAATACATTACACACTTCACATTCTATACTTTGCATTAGCAACTCCAGATCCTTTTCCATTTGTAACGTACGCTGACGTTGCTCAGACTCTTGCACTTGGGCCGCTACTTCAGCTTTACGATTGCGTATTTCTTTTTGATAGAGCATTAGCACTTTGCGCTGATAAGCTAAACGCTCTTCCTCACGCTTAAGTGAGTCGCGATAGAGTTTTTCCATTCCTAAAATAAGAAAGAAAAAAAGAAAAACTTTATGTTATGAAAAACCAGGTAATTTACATTTTTGTCCAGTTCAGCGCTCACTTTCCACCTGCTTTGCATGTTCCTCATTACGCAACCCACTCTGTAGGCGCTCCATCAACTTCATTTCTTCTATTTCCAATTCTCGTATGCGCGCGTCAATACTCCGTTGCTCCCTTTGCACAGCGGCTAGATCTTCCTCGTGTTTCACCAACCATTCACGTGGATAATTCAAGAATTTCGGATAGACGTTCTTTGGTATGCTTTGAAACTCCTTCATATAACGTTTCGGATGCAACGTTTGTGGGCATTTCTGCATTAAACAATAGGCCTTTTTCAGCACTATATCCACATCCACCGGATAAGAATCGCGAAAGAATGACAAAATCGTTGGCTTATCGGGCAGTCGCACAATCACCTCGCGCTGCACAATGTTGTATGCGACGGCTAAGAAAATTGGAAAGTATGGCGGCCGTACCATAATGTTGTCCCAAGCGCAAAGCCATTGCGATGTGCTGAGCACATCTGAGAAAGCTGTAGTTATCATCGGCCAGATATAGTCTTCCGGTCCTACTTGCATGCTTGCATAGAATTTGCATAGCTGGGGCGCATTTAGTTGTAGGATATTTTCGCATAAGCCCAAATAATTTTTTGGCTCCAGTGGATGCAACTCAAAGCACAATTGAAATTGATTCGTTATGAGCGTGGCACAAATTTCAAAAACTACAAGTGGATTACGTGGTATTAGCTTCACAAATGGAAATATTAGTTCTGGCACAAATTTGCTATGAGCAAAAACTGGGCACCAACGTGCTAAGCAGGACCACACACGCACCAGCGCACGCTTCATTGTTTCATCACGTATCTGTATGTGTTGGGCGCGTTGTTTAACTATTGGTGGTATGCCCAACTTCAAAAGGTGATTAAACTCACGGCGATTGTTGGGCAATTGTAACAGCGCGCACCACATCATTACGCGATATTTGCGCGGAAACCAACGATATTCGTCTAGTATAGGTAAGAGCCGCTCGCGGGTAAGTAATTTCCTAACATTATTGTTTAGAATGCAATCATCATCTTCTAGGGCTGCATTAGGATTTCCCGAAGCGCCAATCGCCACTGGCTTGTTTTGGTTGAAAGCAGACTTTAAAATTTGTAGGCATTCTTGTTGCGACTCTAAAGAATTGTATAGTTTGCAAATGGACCAAATGTTAAGTTCGCCACTCCTATTAAGCACCGTTAATAGTTTTCCATCATGAGATATTGTCAACTTTTGTCCCTTATCCGCTTGGATTCTTATTTTGTTATCTTTATTTATACAATTCAAAATTACAACCTGCCCAGGATTTGTAGTTACGCCACAGATTAGTATCTCCTTTGAATGCGGCAGGAAGACGCATTCGCTTATAACAATATCGTTCAAACGACAAATGTGCTGAATCTCAAAAGTAATGGTATTGATCAATAACAAATATCTGTCCAGTGTGGAAAGGCACAATAAGTTGTTGAAAGGATGGCAGCAAAAGGCAATAATCAAACCATCGGCATAATTTAGTTCCTGACAATTAACATTAAAATCACCGCCGACATTTGTGAAATCATCATACAGCATAATATCTGCTGACAAAGCTGCCGTACCTTCGATGTTAAGCTTACGATCGCGCATATTTATGGGATGTATGACACGTAACCTATTTAAAGTAACACTTGACCATATATAAACGATATTATTGGTGAAGCAGGTAAAGATTTGCTCAGTGCGGGGCAAATAACATGCAAATTTTAAGATGATATTCTCATCATCGAAAGTTAGGCGATGTGTTAGAATGAATTTGCTCAAATTAACAAGCAATGCTTGGCAACCTGCCTGTACCAGCACAAAACGCTGAGGTTGTAATGGTTGCCCTACAAAAGATATGGCTTTTATAGTTTCATTGGAGATTGCTATCGTTTTTATCACAGCTGATTTCTCTGGAAGAAATAAAATAAATATTTTATGAACCGTTTACAGTATTTCAACTTACCTATATCTAGCAACAATAACTGGCCCAGCTTTGTGCCTACGAGATACAGATTACTACGTTGTATCCAAGGAGTTATGACCGTAACTCTAAGTATAACTTCAATCAGTTGCCAAAAGCGTTTATTTATGAAGTCAAATGCAAAAATATTACCACTGTAAGTAATCATCGAGCAATATTAAACTAAACGTTTAAGATTAGGAGCAGTTTTACCTACCGCCGATCGATGGCCACCATGAAGGTGCAGTGCTCACTGAAGCAACATGCAGCCATACGAATCCGTGTAATTCGATTACCCTCTTGAATTGTGTGATGTATAGTCAGTATATTTCTGTAAATAAATAGAAATTTATACAATTTTACCATTGTCTAAAATCTTACTTACCCATTGTTAGTTTCCTTGAATGAGAACGCATATTTGCGCACGGGTTGTCCGCCACCCAACTGAAGGCTGGATGTAGGTTCCGCTTCTTCTTCGCTATCATCTTCAATTGCGGCTCCAGCTGCACCGGCGCTTGCACTTGCTTTTGCGGCTTTGTCCTTCTCAGTCGCTGTGGCAGCGACTTCTTTATCACCACTGGCATCATCAGACGCGGCTTCACTTGATGCTTCGTTATTATTTGTTGACTCTGGTACATCAGCCATATTATTTATTCAATTATCGAATTTATTAAATGGTTGTATTTAATTCAGAGGCGTAAAAGATTTACACACGAGTTCGCGGTCACTTTTAAAACTTTGTACAGAAAAATTCAACTGAAACAAGTGCTGCCAAATTTCGACGAAAAGGAGAAAATGAACAGCTGATGGCGCGTAAGACTGTGTGTATACACGGAAATTTTTGCCGAAGCGATTTTTCACATTCCATTTTGGTGTTGCTCGTTTCATTTACACACGGCGATTTTTTGTATGAAATTGTTGTTGCCAGCTGTGAACCGTTTACACAATTTACACAGCCTAACGAGAGCACCAAGCGTGTTGACCGAACACGAGCAGCAGGGCGATTTGCGGCAACAAAAATCGCGCTGTGTAAATGAGCACTAAGACGAAGAAAAAATGCATTTCCTTGGAGACATTTATTTAGATTTGTTGCCGTTTTGTTTTAGCAAGCTCAAGGTATTTGAACGGACTAGACAGAAATAGTCAGATTTTACTGGAAATCGATCCCGTACTCGGTTCTCCGACTGTTGAGAGGACAAAAAAGAGAGTTACCAGTTTTAGTCCGAAGATTTTTTGCTGGTGAATTCTGTGTTAAACGATCAGCTGTAGTGTGTTTGGCAACCAAATTGTAAATAAAAGAAAAGTGCACTCTGCTACTTTACATTCAAAAGTATTTAATTACTTGTTTAGGTGGATTTTAATGAATTTGAAATTATTTTTGGTTATTTAAATGTGTGAACTGACTGTGTTTACATACAAAATAAGCAAAACTTTACAACCGAAATTTCGAGGTTGTGTTGAAGTTGACAGACGTTACCCTTTTTTACTAGAAAGCGATCCCGTACTTTTCATTGTTATTCCCTCGCTCTGAGCGAATTTTCATTTTTTTACAGTTTTACTGGTTTTAGTCCGAGGAATACGGGATTGCACCTAAAATATCGCCTATTTTATTTTCTATGATGTTGGAAATATACACCAGGGTCCGAGCATAAAAGGTATGGTCGAAACTTGATGTCGTTTTCGCAGTTTTGTTTCCAAGCACACTTTAAACCTCAAACCGAAATTTATTTATTTATGTATTTATTTATTTTTTTATGTTTTTATTTATTTATTTAATGTTCTCAACGGGAATTATATGAGAACAAATTGTTCTCAAAGCGAACAAAATGCGAGTAATACTTTCTGGAAGATTTTTAAGATAACAAAATGTGAACAGAATTCTAAGAAACTTTCTTTCGAAGAACAATTTGGGTACCAAAATCTCAGGAACGTTCTGACAGAGAACGCCCTGGGAACACATTTACTCTGAACTTTTCGCGAACAATGGAGGTGAGAACAACATTTTCCTCATTAATTTAATCAAAAAATGGCCGTAAGATAATTATGCAAATTAAATCAACGAAAGACTTAAGAAAAAAACATTTCTTCCAAAGAAAATTAAAAATTATTCCGTAATTGGACAGTGCACCCTAATGTTAAGCGATCTGGCAGTTGAAATGATCCGGCTTTCCGTTAGCTTAAAATTAACCATCAGGGTTCTCACTGAAGCGATTTTTCATCTCAAAACCCAGACGCCCCTCTCATTCTGGACGTTAAGTTCTCAAAACTTTTTCCCTAGTTTTGTTCTCTAGAATGACATTCCCCAGACTTCTTATCCTCTATAAAAACATTCACGATATTTTAGTTTTCACCGGAAACGTTCCCGAAAGTTTCAATCCCTTTCTGTTCTTCTTGAGAATTTTCTTTTCACTTTGTTCTTTATTGAAACGCTCCCGAAAGTTTTGTTATCATTTTGTTCCCGTTCAAATTGCTATCAAAATATTTGTGCCCGTTTAGTGGGTGATAAAAATTACTATTGACTTCGAGACATCGTTGCCAGATTCGTTGAAATAAATATACATACATATTTGCTTTTAGAATATTAAACGCATTTATTTGCATTGCATTTATACACTTCAAAAATAACAATTTGGGTGTTTTATATTTTAATCTTTTTTTTTGTGATTTACAGCTACTAATAAATACATTTGTATGTACATATTTATTTAGGTAATATTTATCTGAGAATAGGTTACACATTACAAGGATACAAGTACATATGTATGTTTGTATTGAATGATGAGCTGAATGTTGGATGGGGAGAAGGAACATACACACACTTCACGGAGTTTTCATATAAATAAATAATGTAAAAAAAGAAAAACAAATAAAAAACTGCGAATGGAAAAGACTTCAACAAATCATACAAACATACATATATATCGGCGGTACTTCGGCAAAACCTCGTATGTCTAATCACTCTTAAACAACACTCTCCAACAAAAAAAAATTCTTGTACTAATAAAAAATAATTTTAAAAAACTTTTTAAATTCTACATAAGGTAACTTCTCTAAAATTGACAACTTCTTAAAAGACCCTGATCTGCTTCGTCGTATCTAATCTCGCCCCATTCACCAGTCTGCTGCCAGTGCTGTGTATTATGGTTTCTATAATAATTGTTATGACTAAGTGAGCCTTTTATAAAAATATAAATAAATAAATAAATAAAAACTTTTTGATTTGAATATTAACGCTTTAGTACTTTAATCCCTATTTTGAATAAATTTTACGAAATACAAGATAGTTGTGATTTCTGGGATAGGAGGTTTTGCCAAGTAAAGTCGATATGTATGCATGTATGTATTTCTAAAAAATTTAGCTTTCTTTCCAATTTCCACTGTGTTTCGTTGTAATATTTAAAACGCGATGTGGTGGGATGTGGTGGTATATGAAATGAGGAATGAGATTGGTCATTCTCTTCCTCACTGCCAACTGGGTGGATCTACGGCACAATGCCAGCTACCACAACGCCGCCAAGCGTACCGCTATTTACCCAAACCAACCCACATGTAATTGGGATCGATGAATTGTGCGCCATGATAACCACGCGGATTCATTGCCACCAGCGAGCGTATCTTCTGAGAGGGTCGATATGTGCGTATGGCGTGCAGAAATTCTAGAGAGAATACATTTTTATTTTATTGGTTTAAATTATAAGCGTCAAATTATTGGCGTCAATCTTTCAACCTGCATTAGCCTCATGTTCGCCCGCTATCTTCTCATGCAGCTGCCGTAGAGGATGTTGTCCTTCGAGTAGCTTAGCCTCCTCATGCCCCAGCGATTGCGATTTCTCATTGTAGCGTACATTTTTCGAGAGATCCGTAAAAAAGTTGCCCAAGTGTGTCATAGCGCCTAAAATGGAAGAGGAATCAAGTACATATATACACACAAGCACAGTTTAGATGCCGCTGCGTATGCGCAACTCGCTTTTTAGTGGGTGTTCGTTCACTTACCAGCGCTAATAGAGGGTAGAAAACTACGTTCACCATTGCCGGTTTTGTTACGCTTAAATGCCAGCTTCTTCGCCTCGGCTAGTTCTTGCTCGCGATCGTGCTGATACGCTGTGTAGGGTATGTAGGCGTAGTCCAGCCGCCGAGTGCGCGGCGCGTAAAAAATTCGCTTAGAACGTGGCGGCTGTTCGGTGTTAAATCGTTCGCTAGCTGGTTCCACATCGATTTTATAGTCATAATCCACAGTTGTATCCATTGATGACGTATCCTGTTTATCTCCAACCTCCTCCGCTGACTTTGTATCGGCTACGTCATTATCGCTCACATCCGTTGCTTGCAAATGTTTCTCTTCCTCACCCGGCATAATTTCGGGCGTCTTCTTGTAGACGAAGATATCTGCGTCATGTCTATGTAAGTCGTATGCGTGTGGCGTTTGTTGTTGTCCTTGTAGATATGTTTGTGGCCACTGTGGCTGCTTTGTTACTGCCATTTGTTGTTCTTTTTTCCTTACTTGCCACTGTGGCTGTTGCTTTCGCCCAAATAACCAACTGCCTAGCCATTGCAATTGCCTGTGTCGCCTTGCCTCAGCAGGAAGTGCAACATCATTTGACTGCTCGAAATCTCGCAACGCTATTTCGTCAGCGATTGCTTTGTTACCAAATAAAGCATTTCCATTTCCTTCCATTGATTTTTCATTGCCAAATATACGCGATTCAATTGCAAAATTGTCAAAGTATTGGCGGGGCCAATGTTGTTGTGGTGGGGGGTAGAAGCGCGGCTGTGGGTCAGGTGGCCATTTAGCTGCCACTGCAAAGGAAAGTTTGATGAAAAGAGAAAGTAATTAAAAAAGTAACAGTAGGCGTAGATGGATGTAGAGGTTGAAAACAATAGTAGTAAACACACTTAGTATGTCTGTTACTGCTCAAATATGTAGGCACAAATGCAGTAAGTTAAGTAATATTAACAAACAGGATATGGAGCTCTATTGACTTCTGTTTGCCAATAAAACTGAGGTTTACCTTATTTTTACTAAGAGTACATATGTAAATGACAAGAGTTCGAACTATAGGCTGTTACATGTAGTAACGGCAACTCTCATCCTTCAAATACATTACTTTAAGAGCACTGCGCGTACAGCTTATCACCTAATCCTTTCCGATAAATAGATATGCCTCGAAAGCCTTCCATCTTTGTTTCCACATCTTACAAAAACACGATGAAAGATTATACTGACCTCCAACCAGACCCACCTGGTGACGTGTATTTCGACCCGCTGAATCCGTATCTGAGGTCCGATTGACATCACTTTTTTTTT